TTTTTTCTTTCTTCTTTATTTCTTTGTTTATGGAGTCTGAGAGAGAGAGGAAATAGGAAAAACAAAAAGATGGGAGAAATGGGTTTGTGTTTGTTTGCTTTATGAGATGATGGGGTTGGAGTATATATATATACACAGACAGAGGAGGGAGAAGGAAGGATGGAAGTGCATGTATGTACGTTGTTGATATTATTTGTTTTTTTTGTCAAAATTTATGATAGGATAAATGTAAAATGTGGGTTATAATTATTTATACTATAAAAGAGGAAGGGGGGGGGGTGAAAATTAAAGTGAGAGAGAGGGGGGTGCAGAAGAGTAGTAGTAGGGTCAGGTCTTGCAAGAATGGCAAAACATTATGTGTTTTGTAGAAGGAAGTTTCGTGGCACAAGTGTCCAAGTTTTTGTTTTTGGGTATTAGTGTTTTAATTAATTAATATTATTATAACATTCGTACTAATTATGGTACCTTTTCATTAGTCCTTTTTTATTTTTTCCCTTGTTGTTGTTGTTAGTTTGTTACTATAATTATACCCGCATATGCATTGAGAACATGAAAAATTAAAAAATATATATAACAAAAGAAGGAATCTTGAAGTTTTCACTAAAAGACAAGGGATAATTTACAACACTAGCAAATGAGAGATACTTGATGATGCGTTATAAGAAGAATATGAAGGTAAATAAATATATACGGCTTTATAAAGAAAGAAGAAACATGTATTTTGACATTTCTTCCAATATTAATAATGTATGAAAATATGTTTTCATTGAGAGGAAAAGAAGTTTCCGAGAGAAATCGAATGGTCCATACAGAAGAAAAAAAGAAAGAGAGAAATGTAAAATTAGTATTGGTAGTAGAGAGAGTTGACTCGTTGAGAGATAGAAAAATGAGTAATGGGGGATGGAATAGGAGAGAGCCAAGTGGGAAGGAAAGGGGGTTCACATTAGAGTGATTTGGATGGACCTTTTTTTGTTTTTCTTGTCAATTATACATATCCCAAAACTACAATTTATATATTCTCCCTTCCATATTTGGTATTTGACGTATCTCTTTTTACATATTACGTATTTAGTTGTCATAGCATCATCGTTTACTCGTTAGGTTCCCTCGTATTATAGATGTTTCCTTTCTTACAAGAGTTCATCATAGCTAGAGCTAGTTTTGGTTTTGGTTTTTATATCCTCTAAGCACTTTGTTTTGTATGTAGAATCATAGTACGTATCGTTGCCTTTTCCCCACACATATTGTCTTCTTTTTCCCTCAATTTCTCAATTTAAGCAATAAAATACCCACTTTTTAAAAAAGAGTGACTAGTCCCTTCTTATCTATATGCATGTTTTTTTTTTTCTGTTAAAAAGGGTTATGTGTAATTTGGGATATTATTGTATAGTTTTTTATAAGAAGTAGCTTCAAATTGACGGTCAGATTTGCTTCTTCGTGGCTCAATTATTAGATTAGATCATAAACCTTTTAAATATGATCCACCAAACATTACATTTCTTACTAACTTAATTACACTATTTGGTATACTATACAGTATACTACTATACAGAGTATACATATTTATATAGTTGATGTTCTCCCACTTGCATGGGGGGAACATTATATATGCTTTGTTGGCTGAAGAACTAAACAAACCATATTTTTATTTTCCCTAAACCATCAAACTCTCCTCTGTTTCTCTTACTTTTGTTTCATTAGTTTTACTTTTGCCCACACACATATTTAATAAACTTTATATTCCATTCCATGTCATCTCCAGAGACCAGGAGGATTACACAGTTTGGCCAGCCTAGTTTGAATGCAATACTTAAAACGTCCACTTTTTTTTCTTCTTTTTCCTTTTCTTGTTTTAGTCGTCAGCTTTTTTCATATAACTAAATGAGATGAAAAACACAATTATTTGTTTCAATTATATGAACTTGGAATTAAATATAAGATATATCAATAATAGAATAGAGACAAGAAGATATCACAAGATGATACATAAAATACATTGTACATTATTATGTGATGGGGGAGATGAACCCTTATCGTATTATCTATCCCCGAAGCCTATATTCTTTGTACGGAACAGTGTACCTAATCTTTTTTTTTTTCTTTTTTTTTTTTGCCACTTTTCTCTTAATTTGGTCCTACCTTCCTTCCTTCGAATGTGTTATCCATTTTGGTTGAAACAAAAGTAAACTTATCCCTTTAAAAAGAAAAAAAGAGTGTATATATATATATATATTTTGTTGTCAAAGAACCTTTTCATTTTCCTCGAATAGATTAATATGAAAGTCGTCTGTTTGAATACATATCGATCTTAATCGAAGAAGTTAAACTTAAAACGAGTTAGACACTATTTGATTAGTGGGTCATAATATATAGACTCATAACTCAATAGTCATTTTACAGTAAAAAAAATCAAAATTTAGAACTTCAAAGATATAAAATGTCAATATGAACAACTTAATTATGCTGAAATGGGTTGGTTTGATGTGTATCTTTTAATTTAGAACTTAAATAACCCGGGCATATGTTATAAAGTTAAAGCAAATATATGTGTCACGTCTCTTTAACATGATGCATGTAATCTGGTTATCATCCACATCATTGACCTTCTTCTTATATCCAAAACTTTAAAAACAGTCCCTAGAGATAATAGTAGGCTCGTTGCTCTTTTTCTTTATTCTCCTGATTTTTCCTTATTTGTCAAACATATAATACACTATTTATCGTATTTAATTGATAATTACGTTTCTTTCATCGACAAAAATAAACCAAGCAAATAATTTTGCGTTTTGCCTAACTAGCTAGACAATTGTTGGCCCGTCTTCATCATCATCATAATAATAAACTTTATCACTTTTAGTAGATTAAAAAATTAGATAAACTCATGAGGTTTGAATACGTACGTGTAATTAACATGCAATATAACATAGATTTAGTTGAAAAATGGGGTTTGGTGTAACTAGAAAGTAGAAACGGTATCGTTCAATTGAAGAATAGGGCCATGCAATGCAATGCAATGCAAGTGGGGGAAAGACAACGAGTGAGATATGTTTTGTTTGTATTTTTGTAGGACGACGAAAAGGTCAGCAAAAGCACTCAGCACCATCCTCTTCATTTCTTCTATCTGGACCCAAACTTCATCCTATTTTTAGTAATATTCCAATCCTATCTCAGCCGTTCATCTTGAATTCTTATCTTCCATCGCACAATTTTGGCATATTAATAATAAGATCACTGCACCACAGATATATATCTGTCTAATGATGATGATATCATCATCATAATGTTTTTGTATTGGGGATAATCAGGTTGGCCTAACAAGTTAACTCATCAAATCCAGTGGAGTTAAGAGTAATTTAATAACATGGCCTAACTTAGGCCACCACCCTTTTACCAAAAACTAATTTAAGTAGTAGCTAGTCTTGAAAATAAATTAATATGTGGCTGGCTTCTTAAATATACATATAAAGCATGCGATTTTATATACAATAACCCACTGGAAACCTAAAATTTATAAAAATCATAATTGCAAACCTAACTTCATGTGATTATATTAGTTCTCGAACAAACCAGTTCCTTAATAATCATGTACAATTTCAAATTATCGAACTGATGAACCATTTGAATTTTGCATACACGCCTAACAAGTAATAAAGAAGTTATCCTCACTTTGATGAGAAAATTTTACCAGAATATGTAATTCAATTTAGTAGTTTAAGTAATTTTCAGTACAAAGTAAGTAATAAGAAGACCAGATAGGACAAGAAGACCCTTTAAAAAGAAGAAAACTCCGGTCAAGCTTTAAACTATTTTTAAATACTAATCTAGGCTGTCCAAAGATAGATAGAATAGTAGGTAATAAAATATTAATTATTTGATATTTATAGAAATAGTGGTGAGAGATTGATTAACATATACTTAAAAAATAATTAAAACACATGTGAGAATTAAAAAAAAGGGAGAGACTGCTTTTGTTGACCAACCAACCAGTAAAAGGGGCACTATCGAAGAGAATCGTAAACCATTGGTGCGCTCCACGACGGCTACTGATCCAACCTGAATGCCACATTACTTCAACCCATTGGCTTTGTTTTCTCACTTGGTTCTTATCCTTAATTCTTTTTTTTTTGGCTTCGTGATGACAAACTTGTATTTATTTCTCGAGTGGAATCATATGAAAGAAACGTTACGATTTGCCATGGATATATATATCATAAGTCGAACTAAAAATAAGTATACTCTTAAAGTCTATAACTGCATAACATGGAAACATAAAATAGTTGAAATTTGAAAGAAATATTTTATTTATTCACATCATCGCATGGTTAAAAAATCCATTATCATAGTGAATAGCCAAACTTCTGATTTATATATACTGAAGTAACTATATGAATATTAATTATTAGGGAAAATACCCTAAGTAGGTGAGAGTGATAAATTGCACCACTCTCTCTTTTATCTATCCGATGATAAGAAAATACTTATATCTATATATTGATGGGCTAATACTATTTTACACGATCAAATATAAAATTTCTCGTAGAACACGGTTACTTAGTAAAATAACAACAATTATATATGTTTAAGTTTGAATGAAAAAATCATTTTGGTCAAACCATGCAAAAAATAAGAGTTTTGTTTACTTAAAGATCGATTAAGAAGTTCAACAATAATATAATTTCCACTTGTGTGTTACAAACTTACAAATCTAAAATTTCATTGAACACAATAAAACACATATAACATAATATCCGCCGTTATAGGTTTGAACAAATATAAATTTGTGGGATTTATGCGCTGCCATCTGCCGACACGGTACGCACAACCCAACATATTTTATAAAGTCAAATAAATTTATTTTAAACCTATTGGCTTTGCTATTCCATAAGCGACAAAA